GAAAACACGGATTTCCGACTCGCGGGTTTAACTTCTTCTGCACTCAGGCGCGGCTGTCACTTCACTCTCTGTCTGGTTCTCGTCGTCGCTTATATACTTTTCTCCAGGTATTCCAGATAGTTCTAGAAATCTCCAGAACAGGTGCGAAACTTCCCGTTTGTCAGTGTCATATTTGACAGTAAATGGGGCCCAAATGGGGCTCCCATTTACTGAAATACCATGAATTTCGATCCCCCATTTTAAACGTGAGTACCCCAGGCCATTTCCGTTACAATATCTAAGCCGTGCTATAGCAATGTATTGCTCTTTTATATTTGGATTTTTCAAATTATTAACCTGCTACTTTTCCCAAATAGGTAGTCGGTATCCTGTTGGAAAGTCAAATATATCGATAATTCCAAATCAAAATTAATTCCTGGGTTTCAGTCGTTTATTGTCTCTATTTATCAATTAAAATACGTTTCGGTGTATTTTTCCACCATCATCAGTTTTTCTAAAATAATAGATAATTTAAAAAATTTTCATTAATTTAAAAAACAACCCCAGTTTGGGGTTTTAATTTTGGGAACGGACAGAATCAAATAAAATATTTGAACGTCTTGGACGTATTCTATATGCAATGTTTAAATATAATACTGAGCGATTGTTGTTCCAAACTGAATGAAGTTGACAAAGACATTAATAATGTTAAAATATCGTTACAACAAAAAACATGCTATCAAAATAAAATAAAAGTGTTTTATGAACAACAAGAACAAAAATATGAAACTGTCTTCAACAAGATTAAAGCAAAACAAGAAAATAAACTAGAAAAACTTTTAGCAAAGAAACATGGCAGAACAAACAAATGTAACATTAATGAAAATTGGATAAAGAATTTGAATTGAATTTGAAAGAAGAATACATCTTATCACTTGGACCAAGGTTCTCCATAAATAAGTCTCACTAGGGTCCAATTTCAGAAATCATAACAAGCATTGCACATGGAATCTTCTCATTAAATATATTTAATTATTATAATGAGGCAAAGAACCAGATCAGAAATAAATTGTCTAACATCTTTCTCTTAACAAATTTCAAAGGTAAAATAAAACAAAACACAAATAAAAGTATGGCAGGTCATGTCAATGGACTGATAAATGAAACAAAAAAAATTATGTATGAAAACACAAACATTTGCAGGCTAACCGTAGATAAATGTAACAAAACTGTAATTATGTTAAAAAGTGAATACAAAACGAAAATGCTAGGCTTAATAAGTGATATAGAAACATATAAACCGGAAAAAAAGATCTTACTACCAATCTACAAACAAAACTAAATAAAATAATAAATTTATGGCATAAAAAGAAATTCATGACAGATAATTTGAAACGAACACTATCTTGCAACATTGGCCGAGCACCATTTATATATGGCCTACCAAAGCTTCATAAGGAAAACATTCCATTACGACCGATAGTTAGTAACATAAATGCTCCAATGTACCAATTATCTAAATATCTGTCAGCAGTTTTGAGTAATGGATTGGGAAAGTCACAATATTACATTATAGACTCTTGGAGTTTTTGTGATTTTATAAAACAACAGAAAATGCCAAAGAATCATCGGATAATATCACTGGATGTTGAATCATTATTTACAAATATACCAATAGATAAAGCTGTATAAAAAATAAATGGGCAGAGATAAAAGAACATACAAAATTACCCGAAAAAGAATTTATTGAGGCGGTAGAGTTGTGCTTAAAATCCACATATTTCCAGTACGAAAACAAGTTCTATTCACAGATATATGGAGTAGCAATGGGTTCTCCCATAGCAGCAACAATCGCAAATTTGGTAATGGAAAATTTGGAAGGACAAGTAATATCTAAATTAAACTATAAGTGTGAATTTTTTAAACGATATCTGGATGACTGCATAATGTGCCTGCCAAAAGACAAAATTCAATATACACTAGATAAGTTTAATGCCTTTCATAACACCCTAAAGTTTACTCTGGAAGAAGGTAACGGAAATTCTATAAACTTTCTAGATCTAACAAATAATTATGATAACAACGGGGAAATCAAAGCAAATTGGTACACAAAGGAGGTCTGGTAGGTACCTGAATTATCAATCGTACGCTCCAATGAAATATAAAAGAAGTGTAATAACGGCACTTACAGATAGAGCCATTAAATTGTCA